CTGTCACAGTAAAAGACGGAAATTTGCAAACGAAGTTTGCGAAACGTTGCGAAGAACTGCGAGAGAAATCTAAATCCGGACATTTTATGCGGGGTATTTCTCAAATCTTCTTAAAACGTTTATTTCTTTTAAATGTGTTGTTATACAGGAACCTTCGTCATAAATCTTTCACATGACAAACTTGTATATTTTTCAATAATTCAAAATAAATGAAATAAAATAAAAAAATCATATCAAAATATCGCGATATATTTTCTAATATTATTAAACAAATTGTTTCCATTTGTATCCCCACAGTTTATCTCATCATCCCTTAAAATATCCGATTATAACTAAAGATAGCTTCCACTATTTATTTATTTTTTTTTTTAATTTGGTAAGATATATATTAAAACAATTTTGAAACGACAATCTCTACGTCTTTGCTCCGTAGCTTCTTGTTTCCGAGGCTGTCCGAGAAGATATCGCGAGCGTGTGGGGAGAAAGGAGCTAAGATTTCAAAGCGAGTGGTAGAGATCGGCGTTATATTCCCCATGAATTTGCATCCGATGGACTACGCTTCGCGACGGGACGCCTAACGGATGCTCCTGCGCGCGCGATTTGCATAAAATGAGACCGGACAGGATCTCTCGCGGGGAGAGGTTTATGTCCAGGACCAGCCTGGGAGAGTTTCTCCCCGAACGATTCCCGAACGATTCCCGGAGAGAACCGACCGTTCCATTATCGGCACAGGTAGCGGCAATTCCGGGTCTCTCCAAGAAGAGCGGACGCGTCATCCCTTTGACCCAACGCGGCAAACGCGGTGGCGCGAATGCGCGTCACGCGCGTGCTTTTACGGATTATGCTTTTCCAATTCCTGCACTTAACGCTAGAATGCCCATTGGCACGGTTTTATATTGGATCGTTAGAGAGATACTACGCCACAATTTATACTTTCAACTTGGCGAGATACAATGGTACCGCCGTGGCATTTCTGGATATAACTGGATATAACTGCGTGAATTATTTGTGCATCTCTAATTTTCCCTTCCAATTTTGTCAGACTGCACGAAGGAATAATCGATTTTAATGAGGTCGGCTGAAAATTCGTTAGGAAATCATTCAGGATTAATAATTTATTGTCTAATAATTTATTACATTTAATCCAGGAGATTATATAATTAATATCGATTAATTTCCATAATGCACCTTACCTTTGTATACGGGAGCTTTTGATTGTAGCAAATCAGCAGGGCTAAAAATATTTGGGAAAATTGGTTACTATCCTGAAATTGGCTAGTTTTTACTATTTTGGATTTACTGGCCCATAACTATCCAATAACTGTTAGAAAAATTTGATTGGATAAAATTAGTTAGCAATTAACCAAAAGCCCAGAAATTAACTAGATCGCTAGTCAGTAAATATTAGCCAATTTCTGACCAGTAAAACACGGAATATGCTGACTGAAATTTTCTGACCAATAATTACTCAGAAACCAGCCAGATTAAAATGATCGGTAAATATTAACTAAAAATTGGCCAAGTCAGACAGATCGAGAAATGATAACAATGATGATTTAAATAAGCAGACAAATTGTGTAACTCCAAAAGATTTATTATATTACATACATGTTACATTCGTACTGACATCTCGGGCAAGAGTATTTGAGCGACCAGGTATTTGAGAGTGCAACAAGTCCGGTCCGATTAAAATCCGTCAAACAAACGTACGATGTGATGTACGATGAGTCTGAATTAGTGTTATCGCTACGTCGATCGTGCGGAACAATGATAAAACGGAAAGAAGAAAAAAACAATATTCGTCTTTACTGGAAGTCATACGCCGGACACATCGATTCTTCCCCTGTCGGAATCCGTGCGAATGTCTCAGAGCGAATTCGGGAGGAATTCGCGAGAGATCGGTGACGCGTCGTTCACCGGAACACCGTATCGACGAGGAAAATCAGGACGAGCAGGACGAGTCTCCTATTTGCATCGCCAGTACCACCGTGCTGCATCGCGGCGGGATGTTCGCCTGGAAAAGAGAATTATACCGGACGACTGAGGTGTCCGCTTTTGTGTCGCTTCTTTCTCGCGCCTCGATCTCGTCAATCCTTCTCGGGTGTTCGCTCTAACGAACATTAAATTTATTAACGGCCCGACGCCAAGCAGCAGCGAGGAGGAAATGAAAGAGGACCGCGCGCGAGAAGATTCATGAGAATTTTTGAGGATCGTCGACTGTTGCTCCGAAGAAAAAAGACGATAAAAATTGTCTGTATGTAGGTCAGTTATCTCTTTTCGTTAGCAGATCACGAAATTATCGTCGAGTGATTTGTTCAGGTGCTATTATAACGCACGCATTATTTCATTGTCGCAGCGAGCGAGCAAACGGTACTATTGAACGCCGTATTATTGAACGGTAAATCGTGCCTCGCCCCAACGCGACATTAAACAATTGTTGCAAAGATAATTAATATCTGAATAATGGGCCACATTATTTACACCAAACGTATTAATGTAATGAGTAGAAAGAGACGCGGAAAGAGAGAGAGAGAGAGAGAGAGAGAGAGAGAGAGAGAGAGAGAGAGAGAGAGAGAGAGAGAGAGAGAGAGAGAGAGAGAGAGAGAGAGAGAGAGAGTAGAGAGAGAGAGTAGAGTAGTAGAGTAGAGTAGTAGACGTAGTAGACGTAGACGTAGAGACGAGAGTAGAGAGAGAGAGACGTACGTACGTACGTACGTACGTACGGTACGTACGTACGTACGTACGTACGGTACGTACGTACGTACGTACGTACGTAACGTAACGTACGGTACGTACGGTAGTACGTACGTACGTACGTACGTACGTACGTACGTACGTACGTACGGTACGTACGTACGTACGTACGTACGTACGTACGTACGTACGTACGTACGTACGTACGTACGTACGTACGTACGTACGTACGTACGTACGTACGTACGTACGTACGTACGTACGTACGTACGTACGTACGTACGTACGTACGTACGTACGTACGTACGTACGTACGTACGTACGTCGCCCCTTACGTTACCCCCCCTTTACCCCGTTTACGGGTTTGGGTCCCGTTTCGGGTTCCGGAGGTTAACGTTCCTACGGGTAAAGGTAAGGTCGACGTACGTTGAAGTTACCGGTACTCGAACGTTACTACGGCGAGTGTGTGTGTGTGTGTGTGTGTGTGTGTGTGTGTGGGGGGGGGGGGTGCATGTATGAGTTAGTGCTGGTGATTTATTTCGCGTTTATCTCGACGCCTAACGCGAAATCGCGTCATCCCGTTTCGTCAATCAGGCGCGTCAAATCGATTTTCCGATCATCCGATCGCGTTAAAATTCAGTTCGCGCAATATCCTGCATCCGGTGACGCGACAACGAGTCTTGAGGGACAGTAGAAATCATTCGTGCGTATGGAAAACCGATGATTTTTTTAACAGCTACGGCTTTGCGTGCGCGCATAACAAGCGAGAAGCTGGCGAGATTATTCTGATTGTTGGTTTCACGGCGCGATACCTGCACAATTCGAACAATAATTCCATCAACTAATTGTGCGTTTCACAAAGGTATAATCGTCGAGACCACTCCCGTACCTTGGACCGTCGAAATCGATCACCGCACCAGCATGGTACCAGGTCACGTTGCTCGGGGGCAAATCCTGCAGTTCTATGATGCAGGTCAGACTGATAGTGCTGCCCTTTCTGATGTACAACTCCTGGGAACCCGTGATCCTCGCCTGTATATCTGATAGAAACAGTAATAACGACGAGAGGAGGAGAAAAGTGAAAAGTCGAAGCAGAGCGCGTCGCTCGCGCTCTCACGATTGGCTTTATTACACTCGGGAAACGACGTGCGAGATCATATTACTATCCTTGTCGGATTCTTGGAAAATGGATTCTACTTCATTTCGAAAAGCTCAGGGAATCGTCGTCGTCGTCGTCGGCGCGAGACGAAACGTGACCGCTACGTACGACGGTCAGAAGGATGGAAGAAGGGGAAGTTAAAACAATTGGTTTTTACCGGTCACGAAAGACGCCCGGGGAGATCTTTAAGCGCGATTTATGGGGCGCGCGGAGGCGCACGCCTTACCTCTCCTCGCAGTGAAACTCACCCAAAACCTTCAGTGCCACGGCTCTATATATCTTCGGTTCTGTATTAACCTGACACTCGTAAATGCCTGCGTCCCGCGGTTGCACGTAATCTATTCGCAGATTCCAGTCGTCGGTCTCCGGATTGCCGACTACCGTAAATCTCGCGTCGCTCGTGTAAGTCACCGACATGGACGTCAGGATGTGTAGGTCCCTTTTTCGGATCCAAGACACCTGGGTCACACACACACGCGCGAGGCGCCACGAATGAGGCGCAGGTAATTGCAGTTTGCCCCTTCAACCCCTTCGCTGCTGCCGCCGTTGCTGCCGCTGCTGCTGCTATTCCGCTGCTGATTCAACCCGTCCGCGCGCTCGTTCCTCACCTCGCATTATAATGAAGTTTTCCGACGATCTTGTCGAAGGCTCGAGGGAATTTAGAGATATAAAAACGTAATTAACAAGTCCAAGAAGAAATTTGCATTTCATTTCCAACGTTTCGAAACGTTAGAAAAATAATTCTATACTCGAAAAAAATCGAGGACTCGGGAGGAAGAACGAGCGTCTTTCCCGTTATGACCGCACATAGTCGTAACGGGCGATTCATTTTTAAAGGAGCTTCCCCCTCCCCTCCCTTCGAGCGATAAGATTATCGATTTTGACTTTTTGGCACCGGGTCATGAATAAGAAAACGCTGATGCTTTCACTTTTTTTTCTTAGGTGTACCCTCTCCACCCTTTCTCCCCGCAAAAAATTACGTTCGGATTATGATATCGCCGTTGCAAAGAAGAACCTCCGTTTTTAAAACTCTCGAATCTAAATGAACGCCCTAATGAACACGCTACGCTTGACTTGCCAGCAGCGAAAGGGTTGCGCGAGCACATTAAGTTATCGCAGGCACGCGAGCTAGTCTCGAGATCGATGAGATCAAGCAGGGGGCTCGGGGACGCCCGTGAGACTCACAGTTCTGTTTCCTAGGTTCTTAACACGACATAACAGAACGGCGGCTTGTCCTATGGCCACCGTTAACTTTTGCGGCGTGTCTTTGAAAAAATATGTCTTCTTTGTGCCGCGCTGCGACTTCTCCCCTTTGCCAAATGTGTCGTTGTTGAGATGCAAGAACGCTGAAATAGAGATAAACTGCGTACAATGACATCTTACTATTCCCCTTAAAAATATTCTTTTGTTAGAAAGAATTACGGATCCGATTTAAAAAAAAATGACATAGGATCTCAAGCTCCGATAAAAAAATACCTATCTCGATGTTTCCATTAAAAAATATACATTTATGCGCAAATTATTTATTTTACGCTTGCATTTGTACAAATAATTAATTAAAAATTTTATGTTGAATATACAAATAATGTCTGTTATTACGTTATTATTATTTCAGTTACATACTAATTACTACTGAGATTTTATATTTATTTTAACTAATTTAATTTGCGTGTAGATTTTTTATGTCATTACAACATATTCCGAGATTTTAATATTTTTTAAGGAAAAATGGTAAATATATTTTTATTATACGATATATACGATTTTTTTTATCATACGATATATTATGCGTTTTCATCACGAATGATAAAAATATCGAAAATAATTTAGAAAAGCAAAAGAATTTAATAAATTTATCGAAAAATTAGTATTATAATTTTCTAATAATCTCGTAACAATTACGTTATTATTATACAACAGAATACTAAAATTGTGATAAAACAGGAAAATGCCTAAATGAACGCCATAATCTTTAACTATGGCTCCTTTAACTGACTCGTTGTTTAGATATTATCTTGTAGGAGAGTTGTTAATTATTCTCTACTTTCCAAGCACTACACTTTCCAAGCACTACACTTTCCTACGCTAAAGAGCGTAAATCCCTTAATCGCTTGGTTAATTAATTTCACGTCTAACTCCAAAAGAGACATGTGTATTAGCTGTTGCGGATGAAAGTATAATACTCGATCTTATAAATCTTATAATTCTCGAAAGTATAATCTTCCATTAACGTTAACTGTGATTAATTAATGTCCCATTTTTGTCTGCACCGTAGAATATAAACTAAGATGGAGAATCAATTAAGTTATACAAAATTAAATATTTTAATTAGATCATCAGCATAGAATCCTAGCTTTATATGGAACTCTTCTCTCTAACTGGTTAAACTCTCTAATCGGTTAAAAAGATAAATAAAAATTTTTTTCGTTATATTTGATTAAAAAAGTCGGCAAAAGAAGTTAACTTGGTGAAATTGAATTTTTATTGAATTTAGAAGTTTGCAAGTCTCATCTCCAACTTTTGCGTACGCTACACCGAAATATTTCGTTCTTTAAATGTGTTACAAATAACACGTTTCGAACTTGTATTTTCGATTTTATCCTCTTCCGTCCGACAGCGAGACGAATTCGATAATAAAAATGATTTACGCCACTCTCTCGCGTATCTCGTTTCACGCGACCGAAATTACTTCGGCTGCAACCGAAATTACGTGGCGCAGCGCACAGCCGCAGATACAAAAGGGTGTCGGGTTCAGTAGTGGATTTTCCGGTGAGGAGGGTGAGGGGGCGGAAGCACGGGACATTTACCGATGCCGCGTTCGCCGTGAAGTGGTTCCGCGTGTAACAGGTATCCGATTCCCAGGAGCAGGAGAGCCATGCCATGGAACGGGGCCATCTTTCACTTTGCGCACATCTCCCGATCTAATTCACGCGCTGTTCCGCGCCTGAGAGCGACCTGCCCACCACCGTCCGATCCGAACGATCGGTTTCCACTCGCAACCCTTCGTGAAACACCCGCGAGATCACGCCGATCGTTAGCATAATGCCGTTGCTGCCTTGCTTGTTTCGACGTGCTCGATCGTCCAGATTCCTTCTCGCGTAGACGAAAAAGTCGCGACGAACCGTTACCGTGAACCGAGATCGTTGTCTTCACGATGCCGGAGAAACATCTCAAAACCGATTTCTTTTTATCGAAATTTAATTATTGAAAATTATTATTGTTAAAAATTATCGGATAACGCGCAGTGATCTTCGAAGATCACTTTAACGTCCGATAACGTCCGATCGTTAATGACGCGCTCGTCTCTCTTCGATCTCCACGCGACTCGACCGCGATCGCACGGAGCGTCGAAGCGAGTGTCAGGGGCGGTGCGACACGGTTGCGGGTCGAGCACTGAGTTTCGCTCCTCGCGGAGGATGGGAAAAAGCTCCGGGAGTCCTGGCATGGTGGCGCCGTGCCCGCTCCAGCGGGGCACGTGCGATTGCGCCGAGAGGTCCCCGGCATCCGGACGCGATCTCCCTTAACCGGCGAGACGTATTTATCCTGGCGACCGCGCGCGACTCTCGCGACGACGCGGCCGTACGTTATCACGATTTACCGAAGCGATCGACGTACGTACACACCGATCTCTCAACGCGGTGCTTCTACTCGACCTATCTCCCCTCTATCCGCTCGCGGAGCGTTCACGGATAAGACGATTTACGGCGTATTCGCTATTTTTCTAAGGCAATCTCCTCCTGCACGTGAAGAAGAAAATAAAGGAGAAACATGCACACATAAAAAAAGCCTTCTTTCCTTGTATGTTATAAATAATGTATTACGATACGATCTTTCAACAATATAACAATATATATTCTTAAAAAATACAATATGTATTATTTGTGACTCGTAATATAGGATTCCTGGCAAGATTCGTTTACGTATTGTAATCCTTTTATCTTTTCCTCGATTGTTCTCGTTTCTCATAATAATATTAAATGCTTATTAAAAAGCGCAAGTCGGAAAGTAGTTCCCCAGGTACAACAATATAAACACCGACGTGTCATTCCCTATTAATACATTTTGCTCTTAATTTCCCCTGAAGCTCTCATGATAATACGTAGAAATTCTTTGCATATCTTTGACATTTCGCATATAATTATAGTAACATTTTGCATATAATTGTCATTTTTGTTTAACAAATATATATACATATTTGTTTAAACTTACCAAGATGCATTTTCTATACATAAAAATATTTGCTAGTTTATAGTATACATGGAAGTACCTGATCCGATTCTCTAATAATTAATATTTTTCTAGTCAAGATTTCTTTCATTTACATCTAAAATTGTATGCTGTTACAAAGATCGCTTTTAATTCCAAAAAGAAATTATTAAATATTCCACTGAAGTATTAAAATAGTCATGGTGTTTTCATTATTGCGCAATCAATAATAGTTTACTTTTATTCTATTCTAAGTACAAAAATACTTAAAATATTGGATATGCAATTGTTTTGAATATTGATAACTGCGTAGAATTAATCCATTAATGCAAATAATGCATTTCTCATTGACATATAAAAATAAAATATAAAATATCTCCTATCACGTAAAATATGTATAAAATTCTGTTTGCACGATATACATGGACTGCATAAAAATATAGCATTATATAAAAATTAAATAGATATCCCAAACAATTTAAGCATATTAACAATCTTTTAAATTTCTTCTATTCAAACATATTTGAGCCTTTTAGAATCTTGTACTCTAGTCCGTATTAAGATATTGGAAATAATGGAATGAATCTGTATCTTATTCGTGTAGTAAAGGTACCTATGCTTTATCTATCGCGAAGTCACCTTTTGTGCCACCCGTTTTCGAGATCAATTCTATACCATATATTTCCATTGTGCCAGGAGTGGCCGCATATTTGCACATATCATAGATCGTGAGAGCTGCTATACTCACGGCAGTTAAAGCTTCCATTTCGACGCCGGTCTTGCCAGTACATCTGACCTCTGACGTAATATCAACCGTGTGCGATTCCTCGTTCAATTTTAGACGTACGTTCACGTAAGATAAGGAGAGTGGGTGACATAGAGGTATTAGCTCAGAAGTACGTTTAGCTGCCATAATCCCGGCTAATTGAGCCACTGATAACACATCACCCTTCTTCACATTATTTTCCGCGATCAAATTACTGATAACGGGACCTATCCTCACGAATCCCCTCGCTATTGCTACGCGTTTACTGTCATTTTTCCACCCGACATCCACCATACTCGCTTTACCAGTTTCATCTATGTGCGATAATGACGAATACGTTCTAATACTTGCATTACTTTCAAGGTATTTAGGTATATATGGGAAATATTTGTATTGCATTGACGTGGTATTATGCATATTACGAGAAAGTTTTTCCTTGCGATTTGCTGCAATACAAATATATTATAAAATTAATTCCAAAAATCTGTATTAATGTAGAAATCTGAGAACGATAATGTCTGTACGCATTTCGACAAAGCCGAACATATTTTAATAATTGGTTAATTGTCATAATAATCAATTAACCCCCGATCAGAATCATTGGCCTATTTTCCATTTGAGATAGATTGAACATCCCTGAAACAGCAGAGATATAAACTTGATCGGTTTGTCGATATTGCTACAGTTTACATAAAATAAATGGAAACAAAACAAAAATTGAGAGAGAGAGAGAGAGAGAGAGAGAGAGAGAGAGAGAGAGAAGAGAGAGAGAAAGAAGAAAACAAAAAATAAAAGTAACTATTTTAGATAATTAAGAATATTTTCACTCAGTAAATTTCTCTCAGTAAAGTTAAAATTTCATCACAAGATACCGCATCATTTTCGCTTTAATTTATATATACATATCACATACCTGCGTGTTGTTTTTTTTTCGCGATACTGCCCTTTTTATTAAATCCTTAAGCACATCTTCCGAAGCACCATTTCGCAAAGCATCTCGCAGTGAGACTTCACCTTTTCCCTCAAACAAGCACACCTTTAAATTTCCATCCGCTGTTATTCTTAAACGATTGCATGAATCACAAAAATGTTGACTCATAGATGTAATAAATCCAACTTGCCCTACGAATTCTGGCACATGATAAGCCTGCCAAAAGAATACTATATATTATGCATTCTCATCTAACGTAATATATCTCACTTAACGTAATATTAACTAACCTTGGATGTGTCGTTGGGCTGATTTGGTAGTGCTTGGAAATCGGGATATTTCTCTCGGATTATTCTCTTCATCTCATCGAATGACACCATTTTGTTCTCTTTCCATTCGTTTCCTTGAAACGGCATATATTCTATAAAACGTACATCAATAGGACGATCTTTCGTGAAGTTGACAAAGTCTATTATTTCATCATCATTGCGCCCTCGCATTATCACGCAGTTGACCTAATCATCCAAATAAAAAGAAAAAAAGATAGTTACGTCAAGTATTGTACAAATATATAAATAAATATGTATGTATAATAATATGTAATATTCTGTAATTAAAATTTTAATGGTTTTGTCAAATTACCTTTACGGGATTATAACCAAGTTGGACAGCCAGATCTATAGCAGCCACAACTCTTGCCCAGCCTTTCCTGCGAGTAAACGATTCAAAGCGCTCTTCTTTAAGAGTGTCCAGTGATATGTTCAGCGCATCCAATCCCGCTCTCTGAAGAGCTGGCAACTGACGAGTCAGAGTCAGTCCGTTAGTTGTGATCGCAACTTGTTCCAGATCCCTCAATTGCTTCAATTGCTCTGGAACACGAACAAACTTTATAAATGGAAACAGTGTCGCAATATTATTGTTGATTAAGATTAATATATAATATGAATTTTACCGACGATATCAATGATATCCTTACGAACTGTAGGCTCGCCACCAGTTAAACGTATTTTGCGTACTCCTTCTTTGACAAAGAGATCGGCTATCTGTATTATCTCGTCTGTTTTCAAAATACCTTCCTTCTTGGTCAGTTTGACGCCCTCCGCAGGCATGCAATATGTACCTGCAATAATAAAATCGGCATATCGCAGTGATGCAGGCTACTAAAAGCTTGACCAACATGTTGAAGGCAAAGTGAAAATAAATATCTTTATAAATGTAAATAGTTTATATTTTTCTTTCGAAACAAATATATTATTTTGATATATATGTTGTATGGTTCAATTTTAGATACATTTTGGATACACTGAATAATTATCAATTTCAAACAAAATAGTTCTTATATAATACTTTATGCAATTTGAAGGGAACACTCACAGCGAAGGTTACAACGCTCCGTAACAGATATTCTGAGATATGTGTGCTTCCGTCCGAACGTATCCGTAAGTATCCCATGTTGTTCATCTTCCCGCAATTTCGTCCTGAGTCGCTGTAACTAGAACAAATGGAAAGGTGGAAGAACACTGCCAGATAAGGCAATAAGGCTGTTGATAAGGCAATAAATCCCAATAATATCAAGTCCTAAGGACAGATTATGCTTACCCGAGACGATGTCTCTGTGACTGCAGCAGCTTCCGTCGACGCACTCGCTGCACCGCAGAGCGGCCTTGCGACGAGATTGTATCTTCGAAACATTTACGCAAACAATTGACTTCGGAAGTAACGAGAAAAAAGAAACCAAGAGAAAAAAATAGACACGTCACGTCACGTCACATCACGTCATTAGTTAATACTCAATCATGAGATATGCCTTCTCTCTCACATTGTTACCCGTCCTCGAAGTAAAAAGAACAATTATGTAATCGACGTTAATGATATCTGTGACGACACTTTTCGTATCCTTATCTAGGTGCGCTATCATGCCGTATTATCTGCATAAACACTGTATTATTAGATACGTTGAAGACTGCAGTTGAATCATGCACCCTAAACAACTTGAAATAGTCGGTCATCTTCTGCTCTTCTTTTCACGCTCCATCAGATGTTGCCGTTCATCTGTCAATCACACGTGACACATAAAAATAGCTGAAACAGCTGCTCAGGATTATGCGATGCCATCTTATGGCGAAGGCGAGAAACTTGTCGAAATGTCAACACTCGATGACAGAAGAGATCGCGGTTATCGACTTTAGAAATATTCGACAATCATAATACAGGAAAGAGGTTAGAAAGAAAAGTTTGGAAGAAAAATACACATTCAAATGACACATTCTTGCTGTAAAAGAAAAAGAAAAGAGGAAAATTAAAAAAGAAGAAATGTCCCTCTTCCCTGCTTATTCGAGTGACAAACTCGAATCGACAACTTGCAGTGATGCTGGTAATTACTTTAGATTTCCGTTTACATTGTGAGGATAATTAAAGACTAATAAGTATATGCGGTTCGTTGTTTTTTTATTTTAAATAAATATAAAATAAATATATTTTAAATAAATATATTTAAATTAATATCTTTTCAATATTATACACTTTAATTTCAGATAATGCTTCTATCAAATGGTTATCAAACTCGAGTTTTCAAACGCAAATACCAACTAAAATCGAACCTCCCGATTTGTATTCCTCATCAGATGAATCTTTACATGAATCTTTCTCTAATGTAGAAAAGCAAGTGTTACCCGAAACGATCTTACCAGATGCAAAAATATATGCAAGACAGAAAGTTGACAAAGTACAAAAAACAGAAAGGAAAAGACGTACGCATGACAGTAAAAGATCCAAGTCAGATTACGAATTGGATGTTGAAAATGTATATTTTGAAGACAGACATAGAGATAAAGGGAACAACAACATAAATACATTTTGCTCTAGAGTGAGGCCATATTATGATATTAGTGAGAAATCTCTTGGCTTTATTAAGCGCAAACAACCAAAGAAAGATTTGTTTCATAGATATTATGTTAAAAATATTGATTCTGTAGAGACGAAGAAAAAAGATACAATTATCAAGAGGACAAATGAGAAAGAAGCTTCAACAAAGCAAGATGAAGCAAATGAAAGCATACCTTCCTGGTGCAAAAATTTGGAAGAAGAACAAAAGTGCAAAACTCGAGAATATAACGTACAACTTTTAGAAAATCCCCATAATGTTAAACTTTGGTTACAATACATTGATTTTCAGGTATTAAAATCTGCTTATTTATTTTGATTAATAACATTGTCATATTTTAATATGTAAATACTGCAAAAAACTAATTTTGATATAAATATTGCAGGATACTTTGGCTTACTATCAAAAACATCAATTAACCAAAGATATACATCGATCTACAGTACTGAAAAAGTTATCCATCGTTGAAAAAGCACTTGAAAAAAATACAGATTCCAAAGAATTATTAATATTAAAGCTACATTTTATGACAGAACTAACACCATCTGATGAATTATCAAATCAGTTGGAGGCTTTAGTTAATAAAGATTCAGGGAATATTGTGCTATGGCAGCACTTTATTATGGTCACACAAGCTTCAGTAGCAATGTGTACTGTCCCACGAGTGTTAGATTTGTATTCAAAATGCTTTTGCATATTGAGACAACGTTCTAGAACAAATCCTTCCGTCTATGATGCACAACTATTACGTGAGTAGATTGATACTTATTTTATTCATATATTTTACTCATGTATTAATTTGTTACATTTCTTGTTTTATTCAGACATGTTGTATCAATGTTTAATATTTCTGAGGCATACAGGATTGTGGGAACAAATGTGGGAAACGATACGTATAAATCTGAATTTAAATTTGAACTTAAACAAAACTAGTCTATCCTTTCGAGGATCCATAGATGAAAAGAAATTAAGTATGTATACAATATTGTAAATCGAATATATAAAAAAACTTCCATTAAGTGTGATAAATTATTAAGTTTGCAAAAAAAATATTTTGAAATATTTATATATAAATTATTGAGGAGTTAAATGAAATATGTTTTATATAATAAGTATAAAATATAAAGATAAATAAAGATAATAAAGATAAATAATTTTTCAAATACTGATTTCCAGTTGGAATGGAAGAAATGATATTGATGTCACGATTACCATTAAATCAATTATGGCAGAGGACAGAATCATTAAGAGAAAATTGTCATTGGATTAGCGTTAGTAGAGACGAATTAGAATTGGTTGGAGATTCTAGAAGGTTTATTTTACCAGAAGATGTAGCAGATTTTGTACATCCAATTCTCTCTCGTAATTCAAATTTTCAGATGGTTATTTATTCTCTTTTATGTCTAAAAGTCCCACTTCTACCTTGTCGAGATTGCTACATGAAAGTAAGTAAAATTATTTCATTCAAAAACTTTTAAATCGATTGCTTTGCTGTTATCTGCAATGCAAGATAAAACAAGAAATAATCTTTAAAAGAAAAATGATAAAAAAATATTTTATATTTTTATAGGAATTATCATTAAAAGATTTTCATTGGGGAATAGAGTCTATAGAAGTGTTACTTCCATTCATGTATCCTATGGTAGGTGAAATGGCTGGTCATGATCAAAGAAAAGAGTTGTTAAAGGATATTCTCGAAGGACGTTTAACATCGGGGCCTCAGTATCTTAAATTCCATCCGGCGCAGGAACCATATCTAGATTTTATACGTAAAATATTTCATACAATCGCGGAAAATCTATCTTCGTTGCAACGAACGAGTATATATATCTGGTGGTTGCGATTGGAAAGGCTATTGGTTTTTCTTAGCAAGGACGAGCCTTTAAAACATGATAATAAGTAAGATCTTTAGTTACCTGAGATTTAATAGTTTTAATTAATTCAATAAGTGAGATTAATCAAGTTTTTTTTTTTATTGCAGAGGAAAGAAATTGAGAGCAACATTGAAAGAATTCTTGAAAAAGGATGAAAATAGAAATAATTTGTACTTCTATAAGGAATATGCTTTAATAGAACTGGAGATGGGCAGATTCAGTAACTGCATGAACATTCTTGAAACCGCTATTCAATCTCAAGGGGCATGCCCATCTGCAATTAGCGATATTAATGAAAAAGCAGCACTTTTCAGCGTGTATCGAACATTTATCGAAACCTTGCTTGATATCAGAACATATAAAGAATCGCATAAACAATGGATGCTAAAAGTCTTTGGTCAAATGGTACCTAACAAAAGCGGAAATCAAGAAGCATTAATTGAAGCGTACTTATATTCATGTGTACAAGACTTTCTGCAAGTTCCTCTTAATGAGAAGGAAAATATCTTTTTCTTATCGAATTTAGAATGCGACGCAATCGTATGTTACGCGTACTTTCTGTATATTAAAGATAATGATATCCAAACTGTTACAAAGATATTGAGCAGCTGTATTGATCATGCCAAAGATTATTCTTATTTGCAGGTATCAATTTAATGTTCTATGAACGGCTAATTAAAAATTGTTAACAAATAAACAGATTAAAACAATTTTAAAATTATTGCAGGAAATGTTATATGAAAGTCAAATTGCAATTCTGCAATTACATCATAAACGGACTGAAAGCATGCAGGTCATGCTGAAAGAAAGCTTGAGCAAAGTTCTAAGTGTATATCCGAATAACTTTTACGCTTTATCTGTATTTGCTGAAATAGAGGTAATATTGTATTAATACTATTTAATTAAATTATAACAATTGCTAGAATGTTTTTAAATCAATAATAAAATCACAAAATTATTATTGCAGAGTGAATTGCCAACTTGGAGATTTAATAGTAGAGGCACTGAAATTGATTTATGGCGAGCTATGGCGATGTGTCTAGCTGTTCGCAGACGTATTGGTCTTCTAACGAAACTTGATCATTCTGATGCAATGAATGCCGCACTGAATAAATTATTATCATTTCACTTAACACTTTCTAGGTATAGTATAATAAAATTTTTATAAAATTACAAAGATACATAAATACAATCATATCTATATTATTGCGTATTATATAACATTGTTTTCAGGATTCCATCGATTCGATGTTGTCCATTGTTGTGGAGATTATATATGCTTCTTTTACGCGAGCATAATTTATGTGAGAAAAAGGGAGAAGAAATTTATCACGAAAGTGTCACGCAATGTCCATGGGCAAGAAGTATCTACATAGATGCAGCTGAAGTAGCACCTCAATTACTCACACAAATCCAAGATGTGATACGCGAAAAAGAATTAAGAATGCACGTGACACCTGAAGAATTAGATATTCTTCGTGGATAATACAATTATCTAATTCTCTATATCTAAAAAATAATGTAAAAATGTTACTTGTTTTATATTTTATTTTGTAATGTAATTAGATATAGAAGCATCTTTCAATTTTAATTTATATCTAAAATAGTTGAGTGTAAAATAGTTGAGAATAGAATACAAAATAACATGATATTAAATAAGAAGCATAATAAAATAATTTGATTTACTTTATTAATCTTATATTAAAAAATATAATTATTTTGAATCTATATTGTATACATTAAATATGTATTTTTTTATAATGTATATTAATTATCTATTCGACACATGAAATCTATTTTATTCACTAAATACAAATATCACGTGAAAAATATACATCTGATAATATTAGTAAAGGATACTCATATATGGAGATCTTTGGTTAGATTACTAACGTCGTAAAGAAAACAGATTTTTTTTTTTTAACGAATTGTAAGCAAATTGGCAAGACAAAAAATTATACTGTTTTGGATCAAGTGTATTGTTTTCTCATGAAAATAATTAGTAATAACATTCTATATGTAAAACATGCATATTTTTAATAATAAAACTAACCTCAAATTGAATTAAACTACATTTGAACAATATAAGGAACAATATAAGGAAAATATAAGTAAAATTCCTATATAAATTTTGTAAAATAGATAACGTATATATATTGAAAAATAATTACTTCTTTGTAATTTAGAGAATTCTGATTCGTTATATATCTTTTCTTATTATGTAGTATTATATGGAAATCTGACCTGTTTTTTTGTAGCTGAATTAGCTGACTAACATACATTTGCATTTAAAATGAAATATATATTTCAAGTTTGACAAAAGCGAGATAGAAAGTTTTAGTGCAGCCTAGTGCAGGAGCAGAAAACAAACCTCTTGTTATAAATATCATATTTCTCAAAAATGGATTTGAAAGCTGTAGTTGTTTCTGGAGAAGCTCCAGAGTCTGATGATGATGCGTCGAATATTGTCACTGTATGTGTACTATATTTCATATTATATTTCATGCTGAATTACGAATTTAGTATAATTAATAAAATATTTTATCTATAATTTTATCTATAATTTTGTTAAATGCAGGGTTTAGGATTCCCTACTATGCGGACACCATCAACTTACTGTGGTACTATTATCTCTGGCGAAGCACCTGAATCTGATGATGGTAAGTTTTATTAACATTAATTCTCTTTCATTATATGAAAAAAAATTTGAATTTTGTCAAATTTCTATTTACAGATCTTACAAGTTTGAGTAGTGTCAGTGGAGCAGTAGATGCCATGGCATGCCCTCCTTATGCTGAACTTAAGATACCAAGATCTAAGAAAAGTTCTATCAAATATAATAGTTTGCTTCACAAAAAATTACGTAAGTGATTAAATAATCATATTTATAATAATTTTTATAATAATATTTTAACATGATCATTTCTCTTGATTTTATATATTTATTTTCCTATTCATAAAATATAGCAATATGGCAAGCTATTATATTTTAAATTCAATAAAATGTTTACAAAAATTTATAGACATTTTATTTTTGTTAACATTTGTTTATTAATATTACAGCAGTACAATGTGCATAACTATAGCTAAACAGTGTTATATGAGACTGTTCATATGTGAAATATTCATAACTTAATTTTCCAATGATCCGTATCTAGCTAACTCAATTTTTTTCAATTCATTACATAGATATATGATAATTACAGTATTTACCTCTTAAGTTATACTGTACAAAGAATTTTCTTATAAGTTCTTATAAAACAGTATTTATGAAAGACATTAAATTATATCTCAAAAACACAAACTTGATATATATGTATATATGTATATATACGCTTATTAATTTTGAACATCATTTAAATTGACATATGTTAAACTTGAACAGACGAATGCAATGAAACTTTGGATAGAGACATTCTGCATATGACGGAGGGCGCGATTATGACCAGCGTACAAGAATTGTCGGCTGTTAATCGACAGTTATTAAGAAGTGAACTGGTGTTACAAGAAGCTGTGTGTCAATTGCGCAATGCATCCGGTCGAGTGAAGGATGCTTCCGACGTTCTACATCAACTCATAGACGACAATTTCTTGCATTCTGTTAAAACTTAACTTTGCTTAACTTATTAAGTGCGTCTCTAGTTCCTAAGATATACATATAGCGATGAGTAACAGGTATGTGTTTAGTATATAATGCCATCCTCCATAATGGTACCGCGCATTAGATGCGGGTGTTAAGAAAAAGAATGCGCGATCCTCTTTGAGATCAAGGATACTTGAGCAGTAATCGATCTTCCGGTGTGGCAGTACTATTTAATGCGTCCTTATACTTTCCAACGCGTTGTCTCGTTTATTTCGAGAATAGTATCAATCACATCAATTCATTATAAACTAATATCCTAAGATCAATCTGGAGAACCAAACTCATCACGTCTGTTATTTAACGATACATTCGGTCACGGTCTGCGGAATAATAAGCAGTTCGATACCGGCTTTTTCGCTTTCGTATTATATAAATTTAATTGCGATTGTTCTAATATAAATATGTATAATGCGATTATACTGTGCAAGAGATGTGATATTTACTTTACGATATACATATATATATATATATATATATATTAATGTCATAATATTGATACAGAGCATTTCTGTGGAGAATAGACATACACTTTCGTTATGGTTTTAAAAAATGCATCTCGTAAATGCCTATCATATACTTCGGTTTCGAGAAACATACAAATGTAAATACGACATTGCTGTTTATGACTTAAGATTATGTAATCATAAAATTGGAATAATATTTAGTACCTATTTACGTGTATGCGTAGTCTTGTCAGAAACACCTATTTTCTTTCTTTTCTATGTAGGTTTCCACCTTTCCTTTTTTTTTATCAAATAGCACAATTTTGCTTGGTATCAAAGGGCTGATATCGACTTTTTTTTGTTGCTATTACGTCGCTAATGTTAGTGTACAATGAATTGGTGATCTCAATGGGGGTGGTTTTCGTTTTCCCTATAAATTCAGTCTTAAATATTCCATTGATCTTCGTTGAACCAAATATCGGTGTGACGTATCTAAGTACAAAATCCCATAAACAAAACATATTTTGCTACGACTTGATATGGCAATATCGCGACGGAATATTCACGTCCGGGACATCTACTCACGCGGCTTTTCTATTTATGTATTATTCAAGACAAGTTAGCAGCTAAATTGCACGTGTATAATTTAGCCGGTACATTAAGGTATCTCATATCCTCTTACATTGTATTAAAGCAATTCCATACGCTCACTAAAAATGTAAAGTATTGCAAAAGTATTGCAAAAGCAGTTGTGCCACTGAATCGTACGTATGTAGATTAAAAAAATTCTACAAAAAACTTAGAGCTACCTTCTATTTTTCTATGTATAAGACGCGGAACCTATCATTATTATTATTATTATTATTATTATTATTATTATTATTATTGATATTACTAAATCGTCGAGCGAATGTAAACTACTCCGTGTTTCGTGTCTCTGTACAGTGTTCTTTGTCTCTGCGTTTGAATTTCTCATTACGCGAGAGATAACGTGAGATCTTTCTCGCTGACACAGCTACGTTCAGCTTGAGCTCGTATTCTCGGTTATTCTGCCGATTCGTGTAAATAGCAATGGGCTCAATTCCAGAATAGGATTAGAGTTTGTTGTAGTTGGCGACCTTTATAGAATATGCGACGTCGCACTCTATACATATTTGCCAATGTGAGGGCGCCCACCCCCCACATGGCCTACGCTCGCTCCATCTCACCACCGCTTGCGTACATCTGGAGGAGAGCCATGGATTCCTGCGCTTGCCGTTTCTCCGCCAGGAATCTACCTGAAGCTTCCTTCAACTGTTCGAGGAAAAGTCTGTAGCAACAATAGAAAAGGGGAATTAATAACTTTATTCTAAAACAATCTCAATAAAGGTATAAAGGATGATATAGCTTCTTAATAAAAATGCATTGTTTTGACTAATAAGTGATTGCTTACCTATCAGGTACTATGTCTGCTAAACTGTCAGGATCCATGTCACTGAGTAATTCCAAATCGTTTCCTCCCAGTAGCGAGATATGTGACGGATCGCCGTGCAACGACGATACCAAAGGTTCAATGGGTGATCGTCGTCGTCGAATCTTGTCGACTCTCGAGCCACCCTCGATGTTATCCACGTCGTCCACAACGATATAACGAGACGCCGTCTTACTGCTGCCCGCAGCAATCCATTTTTGATCACCGTGCAGCACCATTAAGCTCGTGTTTCTTTCTAACGTGGCGAAATATTCCTCGTCATCTACCTCCGTTCCTGTAAGATTTATATCAATGTATTAAGGAGTGATTTTTATCCTTTACAAAAACAGCGACTAAATGATTCTTATGACGTGTTTAACAACAAATAGACAAAAGCAGTATTAAAGAAGTATTAAAACTAAGGGTTGCTATATATTGTAGCATGATTACTACTTACCATCTTGCTCGAGCACGATTGTCAGATCTGCATCCACCGGTAGTGCCAGGCGATTGCGTGCGATACTAGTCAACTCCTTCAGCGACGAGGCGGTGATACCCTTTCTTCGCTCCCTAGTATGATCGACTATTTTGTAAGGATTGCCCAACCCCTGCGTGATCCCGGTTGTTTCTGACATTTTTCCTCCTCACGGGCGACGAACGAGAACGAATCTTAGCTCCGATTGTTGGCGATTAATTCAATCTGGTTTCAATTCGGTATCACGATAATCCTCGATGTTCAGCAACAAGCGCAACCGTCTAAGTCAAAAAGGATTTACTATTCCGGAGAGAATTGACTGCAGCTAAGGCCTGATTCTCGTTGCACATTAGTTGGTCTGTGCCCCGATGATGTATCGGGAAGATTCAAGTAATTCGCGCGCCCGCACGGCAAGAGATACGGGGAGGAATACGCCCTTACGCGTGAAAGATGAGACGAAGATTACGACTACTAGTGTACGATGAACACGACGTATACAAAGATGCTTCTTATTTCTTTTAACGTCGGTGAGAAGTATCTTTCTCGGCGACGATGCACCAAGTTGCGGTTGTATCGCTGTCCGATGATTTCTCGGATAAAAAATCGTATCGCTCAGAAGAGGAAAGCAGGTATGAAAGGGCAGTGCTTAGGAATACGTTGGATCGACTTGGTGGATCAACGAGGACTTGGAGTGGGACCTCCTTTTTCCCTCCTTCAACAATTCACGCGGATAAAAAAATTAGTAGAAGGCGGAGGCAACGGCGATTGTGCGACGCGACAGAAGGAGAGGCAGAAAGAGAGAGAAAAAGAGAGTGTGATGTGTGGTGTGATGCCTCGAGTGACTGAACTGACCGTGTGTCAACCCAACACTGGGTCAACGGTGCAACTACCCCTTCTATTTATACCCCCTGTAGACTCTCCCACAGGTATATACGCGAGCGAGAGCACCGTCACAGCATCTACCCCACCCACTTCTGCCTATCCACCCCAACCCTCTGCCGTAGCACTCCTACACAGAAATCAATAATCTACCCCACTCCGAACGCAGCCGCGCTCATTTTTTTATCAGCGCCGAGACGAGAAATTTACAAAAATACTCCGGCGTGCATCGTGACCAAAGAGGACGGATCTCCGGATGCAAAAAACACGAACCGATGAGATAATTCATGACACGTGCCAATCGATCTACTTCTTTGAAAACCGAAGGGGAGCGATTGAAAATAAAAACGATTCTACGATATATGTCATATTCAGATAATGTACGACCCGAATAGAAATTTGCATTTTACTTAGAGAAATAAATATAAATAAAAATCTTCATTATTTTGTATTATTTTAAAATATTGTAATACAAGAAATAAATATGTCACGTATGTGAGAAAAAATAACAATTTAAAATACAATAAAGAAATTTTTACGCAACTTTGTTTTATTATTTAATAATGATAAATTACAATTATATTAGTATGTAATATTTGTGAAAATATTTATTACAATAATATATTAAATTTTATATGTATACATTATATAATGCATTATATAATGTATAATTATAATGCTATGTAATTTTTAATCATAATCTAAATTAACATTAAATTAGCATATTTCACAAATTCTTTTTTTGTTATATTTTTTTGTTATTCGTTATAATACGCTTTTATGTTGTATGTATAATCTATCATAATATTATATAAAATATATTAATAATTAAATAAAATATTAATTATCGGAGCTCCCAAATTTGACTCCCAAATATTTCAATCTGTTAGGATCTTTGAACTTGAGACACAGCACTGTAGTTAAATTTAGATCAATGAGACTAGACACTGTTTTAAGTTTAAAGTTAGCTCAGGCATAGCCCAGTTAGGGCTCCTAGGTGAGCCACGCCAATCTATTCGAATGGAGTCAATTAACACGTTTGACTAGGATTTTGATACAAAATCTGGACCGAGAATGTCGTCATCGGGTGGAAATAAAGAGGTTGATGATAGTCAAACATGGGAACTGGCAGAGAGGTGTTTATTACCCATCGCGTTTTCACATGCAATCGCAGTCATCCTAGCAACTATATTGAACACCTTTGGGATCTCACAGACATCTAGCTTTGTCCTTTTCTTGTTGTTATTGCTCATATCCATAGGATCCACATTATTCTATCATAATCTAAAGGTAAGATGTTTACATTGTATAATACAAATCTTTATCCCTCTCTTTCAATAATTTTACAATCACATAAAAAGATCCTATAATTTATTTGACCTTCGATAAATCAAGATACATCTCGCGTCCCTATAATGACAAAATCCTATGTTCACAACCTTTCGTAATGTCAGAGATTTGCAGACATTTGAAAGTTCAAAGGCCCTCTATATCGGAATTTTCATAGATTTTCTTCAGGACCGATCGAGACCTTTGACCTTTTTTTGCGTAACGCTGCATAATGCACCTATTATCATTGCACACCATACTTCCTGTTTCATTTTTTTTTTTGTCTAAAGGACTTTATGATTATCTTGCCCGATCAATAGCTTTAAAACCAGTTATGAAGCTTCATTACATCATGATTTAACAAATTACACTATGTTTTCAAACACGCATCACGGTCTACTTGATGTAACAGGTTACTGCAGCAGGAAAAGCAGTACTAATCACAGGTTGCGATTCACGAGTCGGATATGCATTAGCTAAACAGCTGGATGATTTGGTAGTGTACGCGTAAAATATATAGCAATTGGATAATTTAAAAGCAATGTAGCTTTCTTTATATAACTTTCTTCTTTTTTAAGGGCTTCACTGTATTCGCTGGCTTTAGCAATAAAGCCGAGAATGAAGACATTATGCAGAAATTAAAAGACCAGGCATCTGGAAGATTGCACGTATTACAACTGGATATTACCAGCGAACGTGACATACATTCGACTTTTCTCTACGTCAATGAAAACTTGCCGGACGGAGCACCTGGTATATCGTTATATCCCTTAAAGCACTCCGAGATTATCGAGCATCGGTGTAACGGATTATTCCTACGTCATCGTTGCTACGTTATTTCAGGATTGTGGGCACTCGTGCATGCTGCTGCCTGGGTGACTCTCGGGGAATGCGAGTGGGTGCCCCCATCTGTTCTCAAGCGAAGCATAGATATCAACTTCATTGGCTTAGCGCGTTTAACTCAAGTAAAAAGTTACAAAAATGTCAGAAAATAAGAAACCTATGATACACTCTCTCTTTTTCTCTATAATAGGTATTTCTACCTCTGGTCAGGAGATCGAAGGGCCGAATCGTTCTCGTTAGCAGCCTCTTGGCACGGATACCGAGTCCCGTCCGAGGCATTTATTGCGCCCTCAAGGTAAATTCTTTTTATCACGCGCGCAGTTAAGCGTGGCTTGTCTATTTGTATATATAATCACAAGACTGGAAGGACATTAATAAAGCTTGATTAGACCAATAGAAGATTATAAATATATCTTAGGCTGCTGTGGAAGCTTGGGGATCATGCCTAAGACTGGAGATGCGGAGGTGGGGGGTCGACGTTGTGATTGTTGAGACCGGGGAATATGTCTCTGGTAACGCATGGCTGAAAGACAACTCCGCCCTGCTCGAACAAGCTAGAGATATGTGGACTCAACTGGATCCTCAAACTCGCAAAGAGTATGGTCAAGAGTTATTCCAGGCAGAAATGCTGGCCCTGGAAAAATATACACAGGGACCAGAAGCTGATCTAACCGCCGTCACGAGAATCCTAATGGATGCAGTAGTAAAAACTTTTCCGATGCGGCGATATACACCAGTGTCGCGCAGTGAAAGAATACAGGCATTGTGCAATCATTATCTGCCAAAACCAATCTATGACATACTGTACACAAATTGATACCTTATACACTGATAATCGGAACATTAGGAAGATCACATTCTTGGAATAGATGACATTGTGAAAATAACTCCTAGACATGGCAGAGAAGCAAGAGTTTTTTTAGAAAATTATACAATCATTGAAAGCACTGCCTATGGAAAACAATCACAGAAAAATGTACAAATTTAATAAAGTTATCAAATTACCAGACTTACGTATAAAACTTCAATCTCCAAAATCTCTTTAGAAAAAAGCTTTCTAATGCAAAGTTCTAATACATTCTAATCTGTAAAAAATACGTAATCTATGATAGTTATATTCTCAACATTTTTAAAATAAATATATTAGATAATCTTAAATAACAATCCTTCAAAAAATTATAAAAACAATGTAAGAAATGTACGATATTTAAATTAAAGCGTTATACATGAGGAATTGATCAAAGATCTATAAAATCATAATATAATAATTTGTATAACCTTTGACATCGCTGTATCAATTTTAAGAGATAGTATATTATTTAAATCATATCGATTTTCATTTACATATTCAAATTGTATCAATTTTATGTTCCAATTTTATCTTTTCAAAGATAATGTAATTACATCCTTAACATGACAAAAAATAAGTAAACAAAAAAAAAGAACGACCACTAACCATGTGTTTACACCGAGGACGTCGACAGCCTGAAATTGCAGTACGGGACTAACCAATGACGTTCGAAGTAAAAGATCGAGCCATATGATCAAATCTCTCCTGCCATTGGCTGGCTCATCTCTTATACCGGCGTTCCTGTTCTAACCAATAACGGGCGAGTCTACTGACACAAGTACAAGGAAGGATACAATAAGCGTTTCTTTCTTTTCTTCCTTTACAAGATCCAGCATTTTCCCACGGCGCAAAATCTTCAGGACATTCCCATGTTCCGTTACGAATTCTCGGCTCGAAGTGTTTAGCTATTCCAGATTTCTCGGAGGTGAATTTCCGGTCTCGGTATCGAAGCCTGAACACTGCTGTCGTGTATTATCAGTGGTCGCGACGCCCGTCAACTAATCGTCCGTTTCGTAAATTACGTTGTTCTCGTGAACTACGAAACATCTTCGAGCATTTCCGAGATCAACGGAAGTCGAGTGTAACAGCATCGACATCATCAGTTCTATCGGAGCAGAATTCCGATTCTTCTTTGCTCCGTTTTCTAAGTAAAAAACACTTTAAGCTTTGTAATACAAAATGGCACTGCCAGCGAATTACAAGCAAGTCGCGATAACTACATCGAACATCGTAGCTTCCAATCGTAAGTATAATTAACTCTTTTTTTCTCTTTCCGATTTGGAGTAGACAATCTAATTTTGGAGTACATAAACTGCAATGTTTTCTTCACACAGAACGTATGAGAGCATCTGGTGGGAGTTCAAGCAGTACAACGAATAGTGTAAGTAGATATAAACATGATATACACTTGCTGAAAACTTATATCTAACTAAGACAATGTATTTGTTTTTAGAAAGATACTCAGAGTCCATTTATACAAACTCCCCATAGCCATCCTGGATTTACACCTCAGAAAGTTGGAAAAAATACCAATGTATGTATCTAGTTTTATATAAAAGATGCAATTATGATAAAATATTGTATTATATAATTTATCAATTTAAGCTAGTATCTAATCAATAAGCTTTAGTTTTTTGTAACATCTGATAATTTTTTTTTAATTAGGCTGATTCTCGTATGCCAAAACCACCCAAGCCACCAGAAAAACCTCTTATGCCATACATGAGATATAGTAGAAAAGTATGGGATCAAGTCAAAGCTCAGAATCCAGAGTTAAAGTTATGGGAAATTGGCAAGATTATCGGGCAAATGTGGAGAGATTTGCCAGAAGAAGATAAAACGGAGTTTATCGAGGAATATGAAGCCGAAAAGGTTCATAAATATATACTATTATATTTTTGTACAGTTGCACAATTTATTTAGTGACTTATGCATATCGTTTGATTTCATATAGGTGGAATATGAAAAGAGTTTGAAAACTTATCACAATTCACCAGCGTATCTAGCTTATATCGCAGCTAAGAATCGTGGTAAATCTGGTAGGTATAACAAATATAATTTTAAGATTGAGAGAGAGATAAAAACTTTGATAGTTAAACTATTTTATAATATATAACAATGTTTTTGTACTCGCAGCATTGTGTGCAGCACAACAAAATAATGACGATCGAGAAAGTCATGAACGTACATCAGGCGGCAGCAAAAGTCAAGCGGCTCAGGATAGAAGGATTGACATTTTACCAGCAGAAGATGATGATGGTATGTAAATGAACTGATATGAATATTATAAATATTTTTATTATAATAAAACAATTTTATATTTGATTTAGATCAAGACGATGGATATTCTGTGAAACATGTAGCATATTCGCGTTACACGAGAAATCATCGTCTTATTAACGAAATTTTTAGTGATACAGTTGTCCCAGATGTTCGTTCTGTAGTCACTACTCAAAGAATGCAAGTTTTACGTCGTCAAGTACAATCCTTGACTATGCATCAGGTAATTAAATATGTATTTTATAACGTGCATACTTTGTATCAAAATGTATTTTGAATAATATATATTATATATTCCAGAAAAAACTTGAAGCCGAGCTACAACAGATAGAAGAGAAATTCGAGGCAAAGAAGCGTAAATTTATAGAAACTAGTGAGATATTTCAAGAAGAATTGAAAAAGGTACAAAGTTCTTTTTAGAAATTAATAACATAACAGAAAACTTAATCAGTTTTTTTTTAGCATTGCAAACCAGCAGTAGATGAGGAGACATTTAATAAAATGGTAGAACGACAATATGAAGCTCTTAGACGAGAGAGATTAAAAGGAACGGAAGAGAACCGTTCAGATGGACCAGCATCTAGCGAATCTACTCCAAATTCAACACCAACTCCAACTCCTGCGTCACTCAATGATGAAGGCCAACCTGATGTAATAATTATTACATAAAGATTAAACAGTAAAAACACTAAAATTTTTAACAAAGAAATATTAACCCTGCCTTTCTTGTATAGGTCTCTGATAATGATTCGATCGAGAAGAAAGTCGGCAATGCCGAGAAGCCTAATATTGAAATGAACAAGAAAATGTCGCCTCCATATACTGAGAATAAAATCGAGGCACCATCAGCGGTGCAAACGAACGCTAATCAGCAACATCCTCAAAATTCAGGAATGTACTGTAACAATGTGGTTAATTCAATTCACCATCATCCACAACAGACACATCAGCAGCAGACACAAACGCCGCAACATCCACCGCCGCCACCGCCACATCAATCAACACCTTCTCAACCGCAACATCAGCCTTCTCAGCAGCAACATCAACTTCCTCCTCAACAGCATCAACCTCCTCCTCCTCCTCCTCAACATCAACCTCCTCCATCAGCACAGCAACATCAATCATTGCCACAACCTCCTCAACAGCATCAACCACCACCACCACCACCACCTCAACATCAACAACAACCACAACCGCAGCCACCGCAACCACCACCACAGCAACAACAACCATCACAACCACAGCCGCAACAATCACCAGCACCTCCAGTATTGCCACCCCAACAACCAACTACGACAGCCGCAGCAGCGGCTGCAGTCGCGGCAGTAGTTGCTAGCGCGAACGCGACTGCAAATTCTGCCCCGCCGAATATGCCACCAGTGTCCGCATCTGCAGTGCCCATTCAGCATAATCCCCATCAGCAAGGGATGCTGCCAAATCATTCGATGCCGCCGCATCAAAGTGCCCAAAGTACTCAGGGCACACAGGGTTCTGCCGCCGCAGGGACCAGTAACCAATCCACACACCCCACAAATGATGCCACCTAATCAGGCTTATAGTCAGCAATATCAGTCTGGACCAGGTCCACAACAACCACAGAATGTTCCATTGGCTCCAAGACCGCCACATCCTTCTTATAGTTACTCTCAACAACAACCGTATCATCAACCTTATCCACAATACGCTCATCCATACTATCATCAACCGTACTCGCAATATTCGCCTCATCCAATGGGTCGACCTCATGGTCATGGTCCTCATAGCCCGCACAGTCCGCATTATCATCCCCAATCACCTCATACAGTCCCTCCTGAAAATAATAATGCTAATGCCAACGTCGCAGGCGGTGCAGGAACTGCCGTGGCTTCCGCATCCGCGCCTGATAGCAACAATCCTACTACATATCCCGCACCTGCAGGACATTGCGAGAATGAACGCACGGGTCCATCAGAGAATCAGGAGGGTCAGATAGACACTAAATCAGGACCCGCTTAAATATTTTTTATTTTACAAACACTATTTCCGTCTACACGGAATACATTTACCATCTGTCTCTATATCAAGAGATTCATTCGGTGTATTTCTTTAATTTATACGGTAAAAATGTAGGAGTAGTTTTTAGTTTTATTACAATCTAATCACGGACACAAAAATTATCCACTGAAATTGTATTCCACATAAAATGATTATAAAGTAGAAATGGATAAGAGAATATCTGTGTGCAAAATGATTCCTTCATTATATCTTGAATACATTATATAATTAGTCTTATTTCACTGGTTTCATTTGCCAAAGGCCATCGTTCAGATAATGACAGTTTTCGATTCCTACTCCCTTATTCACCTTGATTCTACGAACCATAGTAATATAACATATACAGAAAATTAAAAGTGTATGTTAAAGAAATCTTTTCAACTTACATGTCTTCTGTTGATAACGTCGTTACCCCAACAGCTAATGCATGCTGTTTGCCTTCGGCCATAACAGCCTATGTTTTAATTAAGGATTTGTATTTGCACAAAATAAACCTGTTCAAACATATCATGACCTTTATAAGATTTATATTACTTAAAGGATACAACAACAGTTTTTTTATCCACAGTCATCATTTTTGCGCCCTTTGATGTTAAACCAGGGCACATTATGTTGGCACCACTCAGAACAAACCTAATGGCACCTTTATCAACTTGTTGCATTGGCAGAAAGAATGGATCTGAAAATATGCATGTGTTAAAATCTTGAATAGCTAAAGCAATCATCTATCAAGCAAATGAGTTTAAAAGAATTTCAAGTGAGAAAATATTTCACTCTGATATTCAGAATCAAGTCTACGATATAAAGAACAATTTATAACTTCTTATGAAAATTTCAAATATAATCAAAATAATCAATCTGACTCATCCAGCATTGGTGACACAAAACAAACAAAAAGCTTACACTTGTGTAATAATCTCAAAGTAGGCATCCAAGGACCTTCACGTTGGCGAAAGAATAACAAATCTCCTACCGCATTAACTATGATCTCTATATGATCATGGCTGAAAGAAAAAGAAGAAATTGTTAAATTAGGAATAAATCCTGTATATATGACAACTTACCATTTCACAATACGAAAGGCATCTTTCTTTGGTATTATAACATCTATATGACTCTCCAGATGAGGATACAATTCTAAAAGTTTTGCGCGAATTCCTTTCTGCACAGATGACTTCAATTGCTGTACACCAGAAATGCTGTCTTTCTCATCAAATCTAACAAAAATTAGTTAACTTAAAGCACCAATGTTCTGAGCAGAATTCGACAAACAATTAAATATTTAATGTAATGTAATGTAATTATGATAAAAACTTTAATATTTCTTAAAATGGATATATATTTGAGATATATCTTTCCTTTCATATTTATTTCATGAGGCACATACTTCTTAAACATTTTGTTGCTTTTCCGTGACACACCACTGCCTTAAAGATTATCGAACGCATTCAATTAGCCGGTTATTCACGTCAAAATATTATCTTGAACACGTTTCCTCAGTGACGTCTCGTCCTTATCAACGTACGTATGTACATTTATTTTTCTTAATTCTCCTAAAAATGAATGTCTTCAATTTATATAAATTATTAACACGTTTGCAACTCACAGTCTTAAGCTCTTTCGATATTATTTATATTATTTTACCGGTTTCCCTCGAGGAATTATATGCGAATCCGGACGTTTGGACCTTCTTTCCTATCCCGCAACCCTGCATGCGTGCGCGAAATTCAGCGAGGTTAAGTCGATCGAACATAATCGACCACACTCGCATGCATTCGGGCATGGATACGCGTGACAGTAGCCAATGAGCTGAGCGCACAGGTGAGAGGCTTCTTTTTGCATAAGTTCAAGGTTTCTGGCATTTTGCAAGGCTTGTAATTATCATTTGTCCTTGTTTAATATTTGACGAGTAACGAAGATGCAATAATTCAGGAGTCTTGTGAGCGTTAAATGGAACGTATCTTTGTATATCGCGATCCTCCGCACTCTTTTCTCTTTATCTTTCGATAAAGTACACGTCTCCCGTCTGACGTAATAGCGGCTCATTCGATTTGAGAGCACTGATACCACTTACTTTCTCTATAAATATTTAGAAACTTAGAAGATTTAATTGGAGTCACATTCAGCCCAATAAAAAGAATAAGCGAAATAGAAATATAAATATGATGAAGAATAATACTAAGTTTTTTCCGACTTGCATTACGCTGTTGTGCTGTGTAGGAAAATCGCACTATCTGGGATTAAAATTACTGCAAAATTAGCAAAATCATATCAGGATCGTATGAGGTAAATGCCATGAAAGGGATATATATATAAATTTCTTAAAAAAAAATACGTTGAAATGTGAACAGTTTCTAAATTGCAATAAAAGAATAAGTAGCCTTTTTTCTCGCTATTTAACTTTTGAATGCAACTTTTATCTCAATCATTAAAACTTTGACCAAACATTTTTTATTAGGATTAATCAAAGGTTTGATTAAAGCCACTTTTCGATAATTGAGATAAAGCTTGCACACATTGCAAATATTATTTTAAAATTAATAACCTGCAGAATATTTTTATTCAAGCAAGATTTCTCTCCTTGTCTCTAATCTAATCTTCCTTTTACATGTCGAACAATAGGAAATCAATAATTCTTTATTAGAAAAAAATTTCCTATCGACAAGCTTATCATTAATCAATGTCGTTAAAAAAAAAAAGTATGAGAATATCAACGGTTTTTCAAATAGAAATTTTCTCTCCCCAAAAAGAGAATTGATTCCACGCATTTTGTGTAAATATTATGTAAATATTGTACAACTTGTAAATATCAGTATGTAATTATTATTAATTGTTAAATCGATTTGTATTTAAGATCAAATACTCTCCTTCCCTCTTTTTTCTTTCCAAGATTAATTTATTGAATTCTGAAGAATATAAATAACGTGGGTATAAATCAATCTCTTGCATATGGATGTATTTTACATTCTCGTCTTGCAAGCAACGCTCGAAAAAAAACTGAGGAAAAAAAAATAAAAATATGACGTTGTAAATCGGCAAAAATAATACGTCATTCCGATTAATATTCTCCAGGTGGATAAGACGGCGTATGAGGTAAATTCTTATTCCTTAAAAACTATTATGCAATATCAGAACTTTCAGTAAGAATATAAACTTCTGACTGAGATTCAAAAGAACGCCTTACTATAAAGAACACAATATCTAATAAGATCTTCCATGGCGTTTGATAATAATTTATATCTCTTTTTTTTTTTTGCCTTCATTTTGCAGTCTGCCTTTCAATTTCGTACAAATACATCAAAATCAATGTACAATTAATGACGTGTACACGTCCGTGTGATGTTGTTTATAACAAATACAATTTGCAACTTGTATATATCATATCTTCGCAAGTACTTAAAACGCTAAATTGATTCTTTCATTGTATCATCGTCTTACGGTAAGCGATCTAATGTACAGCGGCACAACCTCTCGTGCGTATTGCTAGAAAATAGCGGGGGCAAGGCATACGAGTCGTAGTTTAGTTTAAACAATCCGAGTATGACAAACGCAATAATGTTATACGTCTTTCGTCGCAAGCGATGACCTCCCGAAATGCGCAACGATTTTTTATCTATTTCTGACGTTCGACAGATTACGGAGCATCCTGAGACCAGGCTAGAGAAAGAAATGTAAGAAAGTAAAGATTAATCGCTCTGACAGCGTAACACGCTACAGTTCTTCGTATCGAACCGCAAGGTATACACAAATGAAAGACAAGCAGTCGGTAAATTCATCTTATAATCACTATTTACACACTTTTCCCTCCACTTTTCATCTTAATCTTTAATCTTATTTCTCTATATCTGGTTACAGATGTACGTAAGAATCAGTTACATTGCATGCGTAGAGACAAGTACGACGCCGGAGTTTCGAGTGTTCCGGAGCGGCTTGTTAAATTGCTTTTAGTAGCTTCTAAAAGAGACTAGCGACGAGAGAGAAAAACAAACGTTACGTTACGTATTATTTATTTCACACATCACTGGAACTTAAAAAATTACTCTTCATTCGATAAGTGCAAATCCTTTTTCTTCCTCGTTATTCTATTTTGTCAACGTGTGATTGCTGGCATTTTTATAGACGTTTCCAGAGTCCAGAATTACAAGAGAGCACCTAAATACCAGCGAGAATAATTTGATTCCTCGAATTAACGTCAATTAGGGCAGAAGAGGAAAAAAGAACGAGACTCATCGACCTAGAATAATTCGCAATTGTTAACTA